CTCTCTCGCTCTCTCTCTCTCTCTCTCTCTCTCCCTCTCACTCTCACTCTCGCTCTCTCTTTCGCTCTATCGATTATTACAGCACAGAACTTTCAAAGTTCAATCTTCATATACTTACCTCTTTAATCAACTTTGTTACCCTGCAAGGAACTGAAAGACGACATTTTCGATGCGCTCCTCTCCTTCTTCTCTTTGCGTTGTAGCAAGCTCTTTACATTCTGCAAATAAGACTTGCTCGTTCTTAAACCTCATTCCGGCGGCTGTGACGTGTTGTTACTTTCATTTCTTCGTTGCAGTCGTTCTGGGTGAGAGCACGCCAATTGGCTGAAATCGCGGACAACGTCGTTGAAAGTCTCATCGCCGCTGATCCCGATCTCTGAATTTTTCATTTCCTCGTTTAGGAGACCGAGACGTAATCTGTAACAGAAATCAAATGTATCTTGCTCGCAGGAGAATTAAGAAAAAAATTAGCGAATTATACACTCACAAAGTAACAATATCCGCGTTAGCTTCTTTCACGGCTAGCGACAAAGGTTTCACGCCAGTTTCGTCCTCAATGTGTTGGTTCGCGCGATGCTTCAAGAGTAAACAGACCTGGGCAGTATGACCTAAAATTTTCATATGGAAAGAAGGTGAATGCTAATTTATTTTTTACAATATAATCCAGACACGGTGACTCTTTATCTACAAATAATTTCTTCTTAGCGCATAATTTAGTTGTGTATCTCGCGTACCTAACTCTGTGGCCAAGTACAGTGCTGTTTTCCCGCCGCCGTCCTGACAGTTGATGCGCGCTCCATTAAGAATGAGATACTCGCAAGCCATCACAGATCCCTAAATTAAAATGGAAAAGAAAGAATATAACATATTCATAATATTCATACGATCAGAAGAATCGGCGTTCCAATACTTACGCTTATAATAGCTTGATGCAAAGCGTTGCGTCCTCTATCATTGACATTTGACCAGGACTTATCAGCACCAGCCGCGAATGCTGCACACATCACGGGAAGATTGTGCGCAGCTGCGGCTTTGTAAAGCAGCATCTCAGGATGCAGATTCTCGATATCCTCCTCGTCGGTGAACTCTTCGTCCTCGCCGACAGTCGAGTCCTGGTCCGAACTTAATTCTAAGCTATTATCAATCGTTGGCTTTGGTAAATCGCATCCAAACATCAGCACATCGGTCTCCATCTTTTTTGTACAATGCTTCTCGGTCCCGATATCCTTATTCTCTAAGACGTCTTTCGCGTCGGAATTCTCTGGGGTTAAGGACACTTCGCTTTTCAGTGATAAACTATTCTCCGAGTTGGATATTGTATTGTCTTCCACGGAAGAGTCAAGCTTACGTTCGTTATCAATGTTCGATTCTGTTGTACTACTATCGACGGTTTTGCTCTCGCTTATCTCGCTACGGGGTCGCACTAATATCTTCCCGTACAAGGTGGACTCGTTCTTCAGATCTAGATTCATACTGTCGTCGGAGCTCAAGGAACTTCTCTCTGTCTTCTTCGCTTTGTCCATGGAACTGAGACTCTCGATCGACGTGTGCTTGCTGTCGTCCGAACTTATGGAATGTTGGCCTTCTTTCACGGAAGATAACGTCGTTGTTTTGTTGCGATTCAGACTGTCGATTTTGTCGCAGCTGCGCGGTCTGCGACGCAGTTTGCGGACACTCCACTTCCGGAAATGTACTTTGTCATGGTTCGCGAATTGTCCTGATGATATTATGTTGTTCAACGGCTTCACAAGTTTGCGATCTACGTACTTCGCTCTTATCCAAGCTTCACGGATGTTGCTGGCGATTAAAGGGAAATGGATAAATTAAGATGTATTGTTTTTCTTTATTGTTAATCAGGCTCGTTACTTACCCAGTGCAGTTTGGCGTAGCTTTAACTATATCGGAAGGGACTGGCAGAGCTTCGTAGATATTATTCACTACAGTATTTCCTAATTCTGCCATTACTTTCAGTACCTCTGGTACCCAATCGTCTAACGTTAGAGAACGTACTTTGCTATAGTGAACACCTAAGCTTCTATGTACTCCGGAACACTCTGAACAATCAAAAAGAAATGTTTAAAGAACATTTGAATATTTTTTACTTTGAGGGGTATAGAAAAATGACACACCTATACAAAGTGTGATTCCAAGGTTGATACTGGCCCACCTTGGATTAGCAGCACCACAATCACAGCAGATATCATTACCAGGAATCTTTAAGATTTGTTCCCAAACCCTGTGTTGAAGATTAGGTATTATAAATTGTTTGTGCTATACCACTTGTCAAATGTAATAAAGAAGCAAGTTTTCTTTTACCACGATTTAGGTTTTGACTGTCTATTTGATCCTCTAATATTTTGTAATTGCAATTCTCTTTGAATAGCAGCACCAATCGCTTGCTGCATGGCAGTTACCCATGCTAAATAAGCTTCTTCACTATCAGCTTGCAAAATGTGACTTCTGTGAATTAATTATCTTGGTTTTTAAATGTAAAAACGTGAGTGAATACTTAAGATTATACCTATCAAGGTAAGTCACTCACTTTGCAGGACTTAATACTCCGAAACAGTTTCTTCTATCACAGTCTACTACTGGTTTAACAGTACAAAGACGAAGATCTTCTTCCATGACTGTATAGTCACTGTCACCAGTTCTTTTTTTGTATACCAGTTGTTGATCTTTCAAACAAAACCATCTTCTGTTCCACGTTTTAAACGCATTGGTAGTTCGTTTAAACAAATAGCCTTCCATTCTAGGATTACCGGGCGTTGGAGAGGGTATTAAGTCTCTATTTGTAACATAAATATGCCGATTTTCCATTTCTTTCTCAAGTTTCACAGAATCAGTCCTCATTTTAATTAAGTTTTCGCCAAGATCTTTTAAAAATGGATCTAAATCTTGTGCCAGATCGCTACCTTGATGATAGTATGTGATACAGGCATTCATATAATTAAGTAATGTACCTAATATTTCATGCCGTTTACGTGCCTGTATCATTGTTAATGAATGAATGTAATCTAGAGCTGTATGTCGAAAACATGATCGAGTGGCTGATAAAATATTGGAAGTTTCTTCGTATTCTGCAGGTCTAGTCTTTGGAACTTGTGAATTTTTATTTAAAGCTATATCTAGGTCAGCAGAAATTTTCTCAAAGTAATGACGTGACTCTTTCACCCTTTTGATGTCACTGTTAAAACATTAGAAATGTTACACATACATCTGAGCCTACAAATAATAATTACAATGGCATGCAATATTATTTGTTCTAGGCACTCAACCTATCTTACCTTTTTATGAATGAATTAAGATCTTTAATTACAGTCCTAGACGCTTGATCTAGCAAAATAGTATGAAACTTGTTCATTTCTTGCAAAGCATGGATTAATTTATTTAAGAAGGCCATTATCTCTGAATCATCATTAAAGTATAGAGATAATTCCCAAAGACTATTGGCAAATTGGCTATGAAAAGAAATACAGGTATTTAATTTCTTTTGTATGGATCAATTGGGCCACAGGAAAAAATTTGTTAAATTAACATATTTTAAAAAATTCTACATTCATTATTATATAATCACACGATTACTGCTCCTACGAATTTTGAATAATATCATTGTTCATTACATGAAACTGAGTATCACAGGTATGAGTCACTCCCAACAGAGCTGTAATTCATACATGCTACTACATGGTTTCCTTTATTGCTTAGAATCTCCCCTCCTCTTTATAGGGAGCAGAATCATTTAAAACAATCAACATATTTTTCCAGTTACTCAGTTCATTGAACCAATTAATCATTTCCATACTCATGATAAATTCCAATTCCGACAACTTCTCAGAACTTACCTTTGCTGCCCTATAAAAACTTTCCCAGTGTCAATCATTTGGCTACAGTTTTTCAACACCTACAAAAAGAACGCATCGAAATGTAAAGAAATAAATAAATAATGTTATTCAATACAACACCAGAAACTTCGAAAAATCACTGGTGACAGTTTGTGAATGTTAACATTTAAAATCTGTCGCGGAGAACGACGCCGATAGATAACGTTAACAGTCGCATATAGAAATTTAATGCAACCTGTTTGCAGCAATACCTTGTCTAATTTTTGTTCTAATAGATCAACATTTGTCTCTACATCCTCGATGCACGATCTGTAGGAAGAAAGGATAAAGGCATTAAAAAATTTTTCTCGGGCACAACCTGCTCGAATAATGAATCGAACGCGGTGCATTCAACAGCTTAGTCATAGTAAACAATGTGTGCACAGCGCGACGGAATAAAACGGCTGCTAAAACGGCAGTGTTAGAGAGAGAGCTGAAGATTAACCAATTCTCACCGAAACTTTGGCGTGTCTCGCAAACATTCCTCGAACTCGATTAAAGGCTTCATTTTATGCTATTCGTTTCCACGGAATTTTCAAGCGCAATCTCGTCCGACGAACTGCACTCTTGAAATAATTCCGTTCACTGTTTCCCATCAAACGGCACGATCATTTGGAAATACCATTAACATAAACCGTTCGCATTCGCGCACGAACACACACGTTCCCCTCTCTACTGTCAAATGGATATAACCCTTTGAAGTTGTTTCTGGATTCAACACGGTGCATCCCAGTGCAGGCAACATTCGCGCGACATCCGACGGGCGAGAACTTCAGAAAGAACTTATTGATTCGGGGGAAATACGTTTCGACTGTCACGGTTTTCTTCCAATAATTTTGCACGATGCTTTTTCGGTGTTCCTCGTGCCATTCGTCGACGACCAGTAATACGCCAACTTAAGAGTTCCGTTTCTTCCTCGTGGTAGAACTTATATCATTGTATTTGCATAGTTGCGCACACCTGAAGGCATATTCAGTAGAAAAGGCTATTTCGTATTTGTAAACACCGAACGGAGTAAGTTGCAATTATATAATAATAAATTTGCGCAACAAATTCCATTCTCCCAGCATTAGTTGCTATATTGTTGTTCGCGGTGTGTTTGTGTGAAGGATATATAACTTCTAGTCATTTCTCTAATCTGTCTTATAGTTATTCGATGAGAAAAGGCCCTCTAGAGTAATGCTGATTTTTTATTAATGTTTCACAATTAATACCGTATAATGTTGGAGTCTAACGATTGTCTTGTTAAGTATGAATTTCCTATGGAGAGTATAATTGGTAAGATATTAACAAAAATCAGTGTTAACTCTCGAGAGACCTTTCCCTGTATGTTTTTTTAATATTCTAATAAATTGTTTTGACGCATTGTGTCTTAGTTTCATTATGCAATATATTTCCCTTATTCATCCATTAGACGATAGAAAGATTTCTTTATTAGTGTGTCTTTGTACGATAGGACCAAAATGACTGGTGGAACTACCACTGAAAAGTCTGCTAATAACCCTTTAGAGCAGTTTGTGTTGCTTGCGAAAACTGCGAAAGGGGCAGCTGCTATAGAACTGATAAAGCAAGCTGTAGAAACACCAGGTGTCCATGTCTTCGGGGAATTATTAGATATGCCCAATATCAAAGAGCTAGAGAGCGGTCCATATGTTCAATATTGGAATACTTTGAATTTATTTGCTTATGGTACCTACAAAGAATATTTGGAGAACAAAGATAAAGTTTTGGAATTAACGCCCACGCAAAAGAAGAAACTGCAGCATTTAACAATTGTAACTCTTGCTACAAAGTCCAGGTGTATACCATATTCTGTACTTCTGGAGGAGCTAGATATAAAGAATGTTAGAGATTTAGAGGATTTAATAATTGAAGCCATTTATGCTGACATCATACACGGCAAACTAGATCAAAAGAATTCACAGTTAGAGGTAGATTATGCTGGTTTAGGAAGAGATGTTAGACCAGCTGATACAGGAGTGGTAGCTGAAACATTGGCTGCTTGGGGTGAAGCTTGTGATACAGTGTTAGCGTGTATTGAAGACCAAGTTACCAGGGCCAATCTTGAAAAACAGAAAGCCACTACTCACAAGGAAAGAATACAAAGAGACGTAAGTATTTTGAGGATAAACGTCTACAAATGAAGTAACATTCTTTCTTATGGATATTTCACTTTTTGGTAGATCGCAGACATAAAGAAATCCTTAGCTGCACAAGCTGGAGGAGGCGGTGTGCAGGAAGCTGATATGGCTGGAGGTAGTTCAGGAGCAGGAGGAAATGAATCCGGTAGAGAAGCTTTATCAGTTCCACCAGACCTAAAGAAGAAACAACTAAAGATCAAAGGTATGAAAAGCAGTGGTAAGTACTCGAGGACATAACTTTAGTATCTCCTGTTCCAAACAAAAATGTATTCCATTGACAGGAATTATAGCGTGTCACGCAGAATTCATATTCATCGATACGTAAAATTCTTGCAATCCTAAAATATAAATCAACAAATACTATAACGATCGAAAAGAAATGTTTTCATTTCGAAAAAGAGAATGAATTTTGCAAACACAGTTAAATTATTGTAGCATACAAATTACTGTTATCTTTGTTTAAGTGTTTCCTTGTATTAAATTTATAAAATTTTAAACTTGCATTTAAGTGCACTTGTAAATACTAAAAGGGAGAGAGAAATAAGCATACGAAGTATGAACATTTTTTCTTACTTGAGTGCACTTGTACTTGACCAACAACAGAATTTAATTTTCTAGAGGATGAATCGTACAAAAAGAAGTTACTCTTTTTTTTATTTTTTTTTCGTATAGAATAGTCTGTT